ACTTTTCCTTCCATAAATGATATATGGCTGGATCTGACTGGAGACATCATCCCTGGCCCACTTTTTTTTTCAAAGGTTAATTTTCCAAAACAGGTCAAGTCTCTCCACAAAACAGCAATGCCCTTGGGGATGGAAACTACCTGTGTTCAGCCTAGCAGGCCAGCTGCCAAGTGAAGCTGTTGGTTTATCTAGTGCTAATTTTGTTTCTGAGCAGGTATTTCCTTTAGTGTTTAACTTCCTTTAGGAGCAGAAAAACAGGAAAGAAGCTGGTAATGAGGAGTGCATTGTGAGCAAGCGTGTTGTTAGCATGGAGCCTGACACTTTTGGTCTCTAGCTTCAGAAAGCTCACCTACTCAGAGTTGTAATTTGCCTCCCAGGTGTAGTATGTATGGAAAACAGTAGTTTCCAAGTGAATAGTAATTTTCAAGATGATAACATTGTAGGAACAAATCGGTCCTTGTTTTTTTGTGAAATTTCACGTTGCTGCCTGATTAGAATCTCCTTGATGTCCTCGGGTTTCTGGACTGCAGTGCTATCAAAGCCACCTTTGATGGCTTTAGAAGAGAGGAAAACTTCCAAGTCTGGAACTGCTTCATCAATTACCTATTTCTCTTTCGCTGCCAAGGATGCAAATTTGATACATTACTCAAGAATCTAGAGCTTCCAACTCCTTTTTCTTCTTTCTTTCCTATCTTTGAGATCTGTTGGCTAGGTGTATCGATTTACATAATGGATTTTAATCGTTTTTAGGACTTTGATTCCACCTTGCTGTTAGTTGGTACTTTGAAATGTTGGTTTGTAACTTTGGATATCCTTCATAGTCACCAAGTATCCAAGTGCCCCAGTTTGGTATTGGGAGGTTCCCTAGCTCAAAATGCTGGTGGAGTTTGGCTTAGGGTTGTTCAGTTCTTAATTCTGACATTTCATTATGTTAAAAATAGTGAATGACTCACTTCTTTAGACGTGTTTTTACTTGTGATTTATATGAAGCTGCCCTTGGATAGAAATAGGAATTTGATTAAAAGTGCACAAAAGTAGTTTTGAAAGCTTTTTTTTCTTAAAAAAAAAAAAAATTATTAGTTAAAACTAGATTAAATAAGTTGAACATCCAGAGAAATAAGTTTTGGGTTTTTTTTCTTCCAAACATACAGGTTTATGGATGCGTGGACTGTAGTTAGTGAAGTTAGAATCCGAGAGATGTTTCGGCAGCTGACGATGCAGATAGGAACCTGTGAGACTTTCATAAGTGTTTAAGTGTTCCCTACAATTTAATTGGAAGTTAGGCACCTAATCTGGCAGACTTCATAATGGGATTTCTCAAAAGAACTTTCATTTTTCCTAGTATCAAAAGAGCTAAGAACCAAAGCCAGCATGTCCATGTATGTTTTGCCCCTCCTATAGTTAGGAAAAAAATTGCTTTATTTTTTCCCGAATTAGCCCAGTTTAAGAATGTTATATCTCTATATCATATACCTTTTTCTTACTAATTAAATTGGAAGTAGTCTGTAAGCTTAATGTGTTATACATTAAAGTGTAGTGTTAATACTTCCATGTCTGTAGTGCACTATGTATCTCTGTTCATCAATCACTGCTTGACCTCAGAAGATAAACAGATCCAGGGAAGGCAATTAACAGCCTGTCCCATAACTCATTAACACTTGATGACTAATTTTTGGAATGGTCTCATCAGATTTAAGTACATGAACGAGTGTTAAAAGCCACTTCAGTATAATTACTTAAGCTGAAAGGAATAATTACTTAAAAACAAAGGCTCTTCTGGACCTGTTGCTGAAGGCTGCTCTCCAGCCTGACAGGGGTGACTCTGGATGACCTGGTAAAAATCTGGTTTAGTTTGCAGTCCCCTGTGGCCATGGCCTTCCAGCAGCCTCCTGCCCGGCCCGTTTTAGATCACTGACTTCTCAGAAGTCACCCAGAACGAAACGATCATTCCAATGGCACTGGTGAAAAGTCTTATTCATAGAACTTGCATTCAAGGATTATTTTCATTCTATCAGAATTTCACTTCAGGATATTAAGCTAACTTCAGCCGTAGAGTTTTCCATCTGTACGTCAGGAAAGTTCACTCCTGTGTAGTCAGGAGAATCGCAGGAGGCTGTGGTGTGTCTGTAGACATCTTTTTAAAGTGTGGAGTTTTTCAGTGAGCTGAGGTCTAAGAGCTGTATGCCAACCCAGCACGGCACAGAGAGAGGTGCTAGCTTGGGACAGGGGAGAACTGAGCCTCTTGCAGTTCTCCCTTGGCAAGTATGTGGCTTTGGACAAGCTGACTCTTATTTCAGTGCCTCGGGTTTTCAGCCTCTGAAGCGAGGAGAGTGTCTGCTTTGAAATTGTTTTGAACTTTTCAGGGAGCTGTGAGAAAGGTGGGTAGTCCTGGATGACTTTCCAGGCACAAAGTGATGTTCCTACACCACTTACCCTAATGTTTTGAACAGATTCACCTCTCTTGGGCAAATGACAATATAAACGATGGCAATTTGGGACCAGAAGTCCACCGATCCTTGATGTATTTATCCTCCTGAGGAGGTTTAGCATGGCTCCGTTACACGGGAAGGGGATTCCTGACTGTGACAAACACAGAATTCTGTCCTCTAGCAAATGGCTATCGTTGACAGCAGAGCTCAGTATGGACGTGGGACATGGGGACTGTGTCTGTAGCATGATCCTGGGACGTGCCACCTCCCTGGAGCACGTCAAGGAAATGAGGTGCTTTCAGATGGGCTGTAAACCGAGGACTCCGGCTGCGTAAACTTGCAGTTCAGAGGTGGTTCACATCACATAAATGTTCTCCAACAAGACTCCTGTCACCTCCTCAATCTTTTTTGCTACTGAGGGTCACACTCGAATGTTCCAGCTATTTATAGTAATTAATTTCACAGTTTCAACTCATCTTCTGTGGAGCAGCTCTGCTTTTTCAGTTATCGACCGTCAGCCGCAAGCTGCCAAATTTGTCTTTAATCTGACTAGCAGGTGTACAACAATTTCTCCATGGCATCCTGGCTGCTTCTGTTACCTAATGACTAAACCAGGCCATATGAATTTTGCTCTTTTTTCCCGTTTCTGAAGTTTTATATTCTTGAAAATTCCATCAGAACAAGAAGTTAGGATAGCAATGACTTCTTTTGCTGAAGTTTAGTACTACTGATGCTCTGCCCGAGCAGAGCTTAATCCACTGGCTTGTATTGTTCTTGAAACTTTATTCCTAAGCCAGGAAAAACAATGCTGCAGAGAGACCCGGGATACCAGCAGGGCCACGAGCTATTTATTTCTGTGGGACCAGCACACTGAGGAAGTCAGCGTGTCTCTGTAGCCGTTTAAAGTTCAGTGCAAAATCTGTCAGTGGATTAGGTTGCATGTGGAGCTGTTATCAGATAGCCAGGGCAGTGGGCAGGGATGCACAGACAGGATGCATGCTAATTTGGTGAGAAGAAGTTGTGACTTGAAGCAGAAGGTCAGTGCTTTAGATGAGGGGTATCTTTGTCTATCCTTGATACTCTGGAGCTTTAGTGACTTCAGCACTTAACTGCACCTGAAACTTGATGGGCTGAAGTCAAGACTTGTGCTAAGATCTGTTATCATAGAAGATGGCAAACTCACCTCCTTCCTCCCCAAATATTAATGCCTTTTCTGTTTTTCTTAATTAACTGGCTTCACCTGAACAAACAGTGAGTTTGACTATTTGGACTGTTTTCCAGCTGTAAACACCCAGCAAAAATGAAGAGTTTGAGATTCTTGTTTGTGTATATTTCTTCATTGAAAAGGATCAGTGACATTAAATTAGTAGTAATTAAAGCAGCGTTAATTAAGCATATCTGTTTCAAGTAAGTGAATGTGAAAGACAGCTGTCTTTGAGTTGTGTTGAAGGCAGGGCTCCGATGAAGTAGCAGATCTTTGATACAGCTGGCAGGTATTTCTGCAGCCTTCATCTTGCACTAAATCATGTCTTTTTGTATGGAATTTAAAGTATGTAGTTTCAAGTGAGGTTCTTCTGCACTCACCACTCATCTGTGATGACATCAGACAAACATGTCCCTGTTTATTCCCTGATTTTTGGAAGGCAAAAGAAGATTGACTAAATCTGGAAGTCTTTCAGCGATGTGGTGCTCTGGTGTCCTTAATGAGTGATTTTACTGTCACAACGATTTCATTCTTAATTATGTCTCTGTGTTCACATGGAAGATTAAACCTGATGCCATTTTTAAGGGAAGGAGAAATATCCAAACAAGAAAACAACAAGGTCATTGCTTTATAACCACTCCAGGTGTTTTGACCCCTGCTATTCCAGCATCACTTTGCTCCTGTTATCTCTTATCTTTTCTCCTGTCTGCAGCAGTCATGGTCACCTGGCTCTGTGGGAATGACTCAGAAGGAAAGAAATGGGATGTGAAATGTTAGTAAGCATTGGGAATATAGGTCCTTAGGCTTTTTTTTTTTTTAACTCCAGTTCTGCTTGTTCTCTTAGAAAATGCCAAAGGTGAAATAAATGGGTTGATCATGACGTCAAGAGTTTAGCTGGAGAATGATGGAATGTTGAAGAAACTGCCTTTATATTTATAGTGGCCTGGTATTGATAAGCTTTAAGAAGACAAAAACATAGCAGGAAAAGTAGCTACTGAATATGTCAAAAATGTGGCTATCTTATCAGTGGTTGAAGGAAATATGCAGGTGACTCAGTGGGGAAAACTGGGTACTTCTTGGGAGAGGACTAAAGTCTTACTGGACCTCATTTTCTCTCTCCAGCCTTCGAAGCTGTGTTAACAATTGATCTTATTACACGAGTCTAGTGCTTGATGAGGATTAATGTACAAACTCTTGTGCTTTTCCTTTCTCTTTGATACTTTTAGTTATTTTCTCTACGAGAGTTTTATTGCAAGTAATTAAGTACTAATTTAGAAATTTAGACAATTCCTTTTAAAGGGTAACTATTAAAAGTTTTTGAGAAGTGCTAATGTGTCAATTACTTTTATTTTCCTGCTTTCAGTGACTCAAGTGCAGCCACTGATCACGAGATGCTACCACGAAATCTACCTCAGCCTTCGCCTCTCCTCGTTCACGTGGTGCGTCGTAGGTCTCGACAGGAGCTCTGCAGACACTCCTGAAAGCCTCTCAACAGATTGTGACATCAAGTCCAAGCATGATGACCTAGTAGCAGGTTAAAGTCTGAAACATTGATTCAGCAGTCCAAGATAACCCTGCCTTTTTTTATCAGTGTCACTTCTGAAGGCTACAGACCTCCTGTTTCTTCCCTGGTTACTTCAGAAACACTCAGCTGACCTTTCTCTGGTGAAAAGATCCTGACTTTTCTCTCTGGTCCTGGAAATATTAATGGAATACAGTCATGTCTACCCAGGACGAGAGGCAGATAAATACAGAATATGCTGTATCCTTGTTGGAGCAGTTAAAATTCTTTTATGAACAGCAGCTGCTAACTGACATTGTGTTGATCGTTGAGGGCACTGAATTTCCCTGCCATAAGATGGTTCTTGCAACATGCAGCTCATATTTCAGGTAAGTATTCAAACCAGGATCTATTAATGCTAGAAAATCGTGATACCTGTTTCTAAGCGTTATATTAATTGATTAGCAGTTGTTGTGTTGCAGAGAGTTTTAAGGATCAGTGAAGTAAGTAAAATAACCTCGGTATCATCGCTTGCCAAAACACCAAAAGAGTAAAATACATTTTCTAGCACCTTGTGACTTACTCTGGATAGGGACTGTGGTTTTTACAGTGAGTGGGGATAAAAAAAAATCACACCTGTGATAGTTCACTTTCTTTAGGGAGTTAACAGAGTCCAAATAATTAGTAAATTTCTTATTCTTCATAGGTAACCTTTAAATATGTAACTTTTTTATTTCCCAAGGTAGGGTGAGAAGGGATTATTCAGACATAGCTATGGGAGTTCCATTGTCACATTCATTAACTGTATTTTCTTAGCAGAAATCCTGTGTAGAAACATTCAGGGATTCATTTATTACTTTCATAAAAGTTTTTTGTTGCTGGTGGGTTTTGTGTTGAATGTTTTTTTCATCTCAGGTGAGTCTGGTACAATTTTTAGCAACGAGTATCGTGTGATCACTAGATAATGATTGTTGTGCAGATGACATGGCTCCAACAGTCTATAAAATACCAGCTGCTGGAAGTGTGGCCAGGTTTAATGTGGGTGGTGAATCATGAGGCTGGGAAGCTGTCAGGAGTCCACGCAGCAGTCAGAACGTGCAGTCAGATCACTTCTTCATATGTGCTTGTTTATTATCTGTGGAGTGGGGCTTTGGCACTGGTTAAAAGAAGCATCAGGCTTGTGGTTTTGTCATGTTCTGTTTTTCTTCTCTGCTTTGGTTTACAAAAAGATGCTCCGCTTCCTAAATTTAGCTTTATTATGAAAAATTGATTGCCCTAAAGGAGGCTGTGTGGAGAGGGGGAAGAAGAGATGAGCATCTCTTAGTGTGCTCCAGCCATCGTGTGTGGCTGCAGCCAGCTTAGCTTCCACCTCTGGTGCCTGCTGCAGCTCCCTGCTGTAGCAGCCCAGCCCAGTTCCTCCCGTCCTACCCTGGTTACCTGGGAGGCATGGGCAGTGTCTTTGTACAAATGCCTCCTGGAACAGCTTTGCTTATGGAGTGATCTGTGTCCCCCCCACCTCTGCAGCTGGAGGTGGGACTGTAAGGTGTGCCCGCCATCCCTTCTAACCTCTCTCATATCTGGGTCCCTAAAAAGCTCCAAATAAATAGAGACTTGAGATGAATTTTCAATACAACCATAAATATCAAACCTGAATGAATGTAAAGCTCTTAAAATCAGCGTTCATCATTTTAAGAAAATTGGCAAGTACCTGTCTTACAGTACTAGAATCCAGTTCTTAACTGTGTTGCAGTTAAAAAAGCAGAACAGGCAGTAGTTATATAAAGCATTATAGAAACAAACCCCTTTTTTAAAAATTGCCTCTCTACTTTTTTCAGGAAGATGTAACAGAAATACATGTGCCTTTTTTCCTTTTTTTCAGACCAAGTCTGGTAGGGTATTTTTGTCGCTGATTTTTGTCTACAAAGTTGAAGTTCTTTACTGCATATTATGATGAATGCTGTATAAGAAATACTTCATGGAGTGCTAGTCCTTGCTTCAATTTCTGAGTTAACTTTCCTCACCTTCCAGAGGAGCATGGGTTTTTTTCGCTATGACTTGGCTCAGCCCATTGCATTAATTCTGCTTCTTTTGCTTTAAAATTTAAATTCTAGCTGTACAGGTTTCAACAGTATTTTCTGGAGGATGTTTCTTCCCTCTTATTACGTACCATAGAAGAAGTTTAGAGTTTTAATGACGAAATTGAAAAATCATTAAGAGTTCTCTGCCAATTAACACAAGAGTTTGCATAAATACATTTCTACAGAAGGCACCGATGGTACTTTTTGAATGTTGTGTACAGAAGCGTGATCTTAAATACTAGGCAGAGCATGAAGTAAACACTAAATACCTGTAAACCAGCAACCAGAAAGACTGTTCACTGAAGACTTACAGTACTCGCTGTTGATCCTGGTCTTAAAATGTGTGTTTCTCCTCAGAGCCATGTTCATGAGCGGGCTCAGTGAGAGCAAGCAGACACACGTGCACCTGAGGAACGTGGATGCAGCCACCTTACAAACCATCATCACGTACGCGTACACGGGTAACTTGGCGATAAGCGACGGCACGGTGGAGCAGCTTTATGAGACCGCCTGCTTCCTACAGGTAGGAATGTCTGCAGTAGGAAACAGCTGCTTCTAAGCTCTTTTTTTTTTAATAGTCTTTTCTGTTTAGTCATTTCAAAGTGCTCTTGTTCAGTTTGCTCAGTGCAGACAGTGCTTGCGTGCCAGGTAAGTTTCGTGTACCCACCCCTCCTTGCTTTGTGGCCCCTGAAGAGGGTGGAAATAGAGGAGGGCACTTCTCACATGTAGACAGTCAGTTCCTCCAGCAGATGCAATCACTTTATCTCTATGAAGCATTCAGGTCAAGTCACTGGCTGTATTTTTGTGTGTGTGTATATATATACATATGTATATATGTATTACTCCAGGCCTAAACTCTGTTGTTCAACACTACTCGCAGGTACTTCTGCCCGCTGCTGGTGGGTGAAGGAACAGACTGTGTGCAGTAAACACTGAGTGTGCTTCTTCTGTTGCAGGTAGACGATGTGCTGCAGCGGTGCAGAGAATACTTAATCAAAAAAATTAACGCCGAGAACTGCGTGCGGCTGTTGAGCTTTGCCGACCTCTTCAGCTGCGAGGAGTTAAAGCAGAGCGCCAAAAGGATGGTGGAGCACAAGTTCACGGTGGTGTACCACCAGGAGGCTTTCATGCAGCTCTCCCATGACCTGCTGATAGATATTCTAAGCAGCGACAACTTAAACGTGGAGAAGGAGGAGACGGTGCGGGAGGCGGCGATGCTGTGGCTGGAGTACAACACGGAGTCGCGCTCGCAGTACCTGTCCTCGGTCCTCAGCCAGATCCGCATCGACGCGCTCTCCGAGGTGACGCAGCGAGCCTGGTTCCAGGGCCTGCCCCCCAACGACAAGTCCGTGGTGGTGCAAGGGCTCTACAAGTCGATGCCCAAGTTTTTCAAGCCCAGGTTAGGTATGACGAAAGAGGAGATGATGATATTCATTGAAGCTGCTGCTGAAAACCCCGGGAGTCTTTATTCTTCTGTCTGTTATAGCCCCCAGGCAGAAAAAGTTTACAAACTCTGCAACCCTCCCGCCGACTTGCATAAGGTCGGGACGCTCGTAACTCCCGATAACGACATCTACATAGCGGGGGGGCAGGTTCCCCTGAAAAACACCAAAAGCAACCACAGTAAAAGCAGCAAACTGCAGGCTGCCTTCAGAACTGTCAATTGCTTTTACTGGTTCGACGCGCAGCAAAACACTTGGTTCCCAAAGACGCCGATGCTCTTCGTCCGCGTGAAGCCGTCCCTGGTCTGCTGCGAGGGCTACATCTATGCAATCGGAGGGGACAGCGTGGGCGGGGAGCTCAACAGGAGAACCGTGGAGCGCTACGACACCGAGAAGGACGAGTGGAGCATGGTGAGCCCGCTGCCTTGCGCCTGGCAGTGGAGCACGGCCGTGGCCGTTCACAACTGCATCTACGTGATGGCCCACAACCTGATGTACTGCTACTTCCCCAGGTCGGACGCTTGGGTGGAGATGGCGATGCGCCAGACCAGCAGGTGCTTCGCCTCGGCCGCGGCGTTCGGAGATCAGATCTTCTACATCGGGGGGCTGCACATCGCCAGCAACTCCGGGATCAGGCTGCCCAGCAGTACTGTGGACGGCTCTTCCGTGACGGTGGAGATCTACGACGTGAACAAGAACGAGTGGCGCATGGCGGCCAACATCCCCGCCAAGCGCTACTCCGACCCCTGCGTCAGAGCCGTCGTCATCTCCAACGCCCTCTGCGTCTTCATACGGGAGACCCACATGAACGAGCGCGCCAAGTACGCCACCTACCAGTACGACCTGGAGCTCGACCGCTGGTTCCTGAGGCAGCACATATCGGAGCGGGTGCTCTGGGACCTGGGGAAGGACTTCCGGTGCACTGTGGGGAAGCTGTACCCGTCCTGCCTGGAGGAGTCCCCCTGGAAGCCCCCCACCTATCTCTTCTCGCCAGATGGAGCTGATGAGTTTGAGCTGGACGGGGAGATGGTCACTTTACCACCCGTATAGCTCACAGACTGGCTGCACGGCTGATTCAGGGCTCGGTGACCTGCATAGAAGGGGTTGTGAAAGAACAGGGCTGGAAAGAGAAACATCCAACCTGTCTTTCCTGAGCTGTGTTTTTAGGCCCTACCTGAGACTCGCCACCGATGAATCAGTGGAATGAGCAGATAGGCTTCCATTATCTGAAATACTATTATCTGATAATTGAGAAACGTGTATGTATATCATGAGCTTAAGCATCTGACTTGTCTAAAGAATTAATTTCTAGTTCTATGAAGTCTCCGTTCAGGAAAATTAGCTTCAGAAAAAAAGTAGTTACTGTTTCTAGGACAGACAATGTTTCACAACTCTTTCGAAAGTATCTTCCAGTTATATTTGAACTACTTCTGGATATTCTACTTAAGTGCTAGTTATATAATTGTCAGTGCGGCCTAGTTAAAGGACTGGGCCGCGCTTCCGTAATACTAATATCCACGTTGGTATAGTAATGCCATTAAAAGAAAAAGAAACAAATCCCATGGATCTACCTGTGGTAGGAAGGGTAGATCTTCCATTGTATGGTAACATGCAGGGCAAAAATGACTGCAGGTTCAGTCACGCTGTATTATTAGGTGCATGTATTCTATTTTCACTAACTTATACCTGTCTATTTAGAATACAGGTCTTCCAAGCAGCTGGTAGTTTACCAGGTGTGGACTTAAGTTGCTGGGCTTGCAATAGGAATTGTCAGCCCTCATAGTGCGGGTCTGCGTGGAGCTTTCAGCAGTAAAGGTCTCCACGTTCTGTATTACAGTAACATTGGCTCATGTATATTACTTCCTGCTGCTGATGTATTTTTCCATTGTAAAACAAAGTTCTAGTGTGGATTAACCAGGTCTTTATTTTCTGTTAATTTAATAACAAGCATTACTGTAGTGTGATTGTGTATAGATATCCCTTAGCGTATCTATCAGGTTTTTTACTTTGGGGGGGTGGGAGGGGAGCCAAAACCGTTCAGGAATTCCCTGTGCTGCGGGCGCAGGAGAGCAGGTGACTAGTGCTGCTCTGGCATTAACCCCAGGAACCACTAGCAGTAGCGGGGAGCCGCCAACCTAACATGAACACAGGTGCTTCATGACAAAAAAAACCCTACTAGCATGTTCAGCTGCATCATGTTCTGGCACTGTATTTTGAATGACATTAATTTATTAAAAAAGACTGAATCCAACCGAGGTCAGTGTGGTTGTTCTGGTTACAGCAGCCTCCCGCCGCATGCGCCTCCTAGCAGCCGGGCTGTTGAAGGCAGCTGGAGATAGTTAAGCTTGAAAAGCCTGGAGAGAAGTGTGTTGGTTCACTACTGGTGCTTACTGGTCAATGGAAGCTGGGAATTGGGTGTTGAAGTCAAACTGAGGATGTTACAGAACTTGAATGCCCTGCTGTGGTTTTTGTAAATTGGCCCTTCTCCAATTGCAGGACAAGTTCTGCTCTACTGGAAGTAAAGGACAACGGGCAGTGAGGAGGTAAGGAGGGACCTTCTCCATGAGCTCAGAAGATGGGAGACTGATTTTCAGTCTTTAATGTCAAGAGCGTGTTTACTTACTCCATCATCCAGCCTGCCACTGGCTTTTCCTTAATTCTGTTTCTTATCCCAGTAAATACAATTACAAATTTTAACAAAGATGACACCTATAAATTTTTTTTGCTACAAATGGATTTTAGATCAGAAACGTGCCTTATATAAAACTCTTTGTAATGCTCTGGGGCATTTTATACCACGTAGGCACTTCTGGGATCCAGAATAACGATGGCACCAACAGAAACAGGTAAACTACATTTTTAGGAAGGTTCCACATTTACATTTACTATTATGTCAACTTTTTTAAACCCCTAAATGGCTTAGACAAGAGTGAGGTGAGTGAGGAGATCCTGCTGCTCAGCCTGTTTATATTTTCTTCACAGAGTCTGGGACATCTGGTTAAGAGCCCAGTTAAGGGAGTATACACTAAATGAAAACTAGTGATGATTAAAAAAGTAAATTTGAATAGGAAATGGGGGTGACTAAATTGCAGTGGCTGTCAGTCACAGCTGCCTCACAGAACTTGGAAGAACTGTCCCTGATTTCATCCTTTTATGAACATCTTCTAAAATGCAGAATGTCTCCACGATTTCCTGCTAGTCTGCATTTTTTAGATATATGTATTTTTATATTGTTTCTAGCTATCTGCATTTTTTTGTATTTTCTATGGTCTAAGATGATGTACCTTATTTAAAATTAAATTACTATTAATAATACAGTACTTAAGACTAGTCAGGTATTGAGCAGGTCTCTAGTGCCTCAGTTAGAAACATGGTATTGGTTCACTTACTTACACAAGTAGTTGCTGCAGTCAGTATTCAACCCCAAAGGAAAAGGCAGCTGGCAAATGCTGTTCCCCAGTCTAAATTCTTCCCTTGCATAATTCAAGAAGGAAACTGCAGGCAAAGTGTTGTCATGTGCCTGGAAATGGTCACTAGTGGTAGAACTAGAGAAAAGCTGCTGTGGGAACAAAGGCAACAGCTGGAAAAAAAATGCAGTTCTCATTTCATAAATAGAGCAACTATGATTAAAGCTCTCACAGAGTTCCAAATAAGTATTTTACTACAAAGCTCCAGCCTAATACCAGCCTCTTCAACCTGCACTTGGCTTCAGGCTACACCTACATACAAGTTTCAATGACTCAACTTTCTAGGTCCTCAAGCTTTGTTGTATTTGCAAAGAGTTTGCTTCTTTTCTGGTAGAACTACTTTAAGTTAGTCTATGTAGTTTCAGTTCTCCCTATCTGAAGTAATAAAAAGCAGCCATCTGGTCTCTGCTAATTTTTAATGCATTTTTACAGATGTTTAAATACATAGCTAATTGCAAGTTCAATTTTTCTTCTGTGGGGACCAGTCAGATCTAGGGCAGTGAATTGTGTCCAGCTTTAAAAGGCCACAGAAGTAGGTCAGTTTTAGGGGAGAAAATAATTAGCTAAAATGATAAAGGATTTATTGTTTCTGTTTCAAGCATTGCCTGGTTTGAAGTGCTGTTTTTTCACAATGTTTCTCATTTGATTTCTCAGTGCCTCTGTTATGATGCAGTAGCACCTACCCTGGTGTAGTAGGGCTACACAGCACCTCTGGACAAACCTGCAGAGCACTGAAATCACTAGAGGAGGAAAACTTCCTCATTTGGATCTGGATTCCTACATGAAAGCTTTAATTTAGGCAGACTCAGAAGTAGGCTTGTCCTTAAAACCAGTTTCTTTCCATCTCACACTCAGTATTAGCAAGCCCAAGTTCTATTTAGTTTCACTCTAGAATTATTTAAAGTATCTCCCTCCTACGACATGTGTCATGAGTACAATTCAGCAAGGCAGAGTTCTTACTCACAGCTTACAACCCAGAGGAGGAGGAGGAGTATGAGCAGAGTGAATAAAACAATGCTGGGAGGCAGTCTGTGTGAAATCCACACACACCTCCTGAGTTCCAGGGTGGAAGAGGAACACAAGTAGCCTGAACTGGCAGGTGAGGGCAAGACCCAGCTCTGTACCAAGCTACAGTCACTCTGACATGGAAGAAAGGACCAACAGAGAAGATGGGACAGGCATGAAGGTGAAAAAAGAGTAAAGAGAGCATGATGTGCCCGTGTTGTTTTTAAGACAACAAAATACATCTGCCTTCACTTTAGGTGACTATTCTTCCGGGACAGGCATGAAGGTGAAAAAAAAGAGAGTGTGATGTGCCCATGTTGTTTTTAAGACAACAAAATACACCTGCCTTCACTTTAGGTGACTATTCTTCCTTCAGTCTTAACATTCTTATTCAATTTTCTTTATGCTCACTGGATCTAGACAGCACCGCTACCTTCTTGGTGAGCTAGAGTAAGACAAAGATTTTGAAGATGTTTTCTGCTACTATTGAGGCAAATAGTAACTATGCTTTCATCAGTATTAGTCTAAATTCAGGTGGGGAAGAAATAAAGGACCCTTATTTTCTATCAGTTGATTTTGGAGTTTTACAAGAAGAGCAATGCATGATTAGGTAATTTTAAACCTATATAAGACTCAACAAGACAGCTGGACTTCTGAGTTGTACCACAACAGAGAATAACCCACATGTGATTTCAATTTATAGGGAAAAACGTAATCTGAGCCAACTTCACTATTTAACCAACAGAAGTGATCCAACTCCGTGGGGAAGTAATAAAGGACCCTTTTTTTCTATCAGTTGATTTTGGAGTAGTTTTACAAGAAGAGCAATGCATGATTAGGTAATTTTAAACCTATATAAGACTCAACAAGACAGCTGGACTTCTGAGTTGTACCACAACAGAGAATAACCCACATGTGATTTCAATTTATAGGGAAAAACGTAATCTGAGCCAACTTCACTATTTAACCAACAGAAGTGATCCAACTCCATATTATTTTTTTAATGAATCCAAACACTACTACTAATGTTTGATAAAGATCACAGAAGAAAAGCTTGGTGCCTGCTCTTTTAAGCCAGTCTCTCCTCTGGTATTAAAGACTCAGAACACCATGAAGCAATTTCTCATACATTTTTAATCATAGTACAGTAAAGTAGTGGTTCTGTCTTTAATCAATACTCTCCGTGTTGCCCTTTTGAATGAAAACTAAATACCTGCAAGAAAGCAAAGTTACACTGCATGAACAACATGATGTAAATTTATCTTCCAGTGTGCTTGCACAACTCCTTGCATAGGGTCAGAAAAAAACTTTAACCAATTTTAGAGAACTGCAACCGTTTTCTAGATGTAATTCATACCTGAATGTTACTCAAGGCAGTTAGGTTCCTCCTGCTGCAGAGAGTGATTTACCAAATCATTCTCTCTTGGGTACAGTAGAAGTTTCAAAGTTGTAGAATAGCTCACTATGGCAGAGAACTGGATGTGCAGCAATTAATTTACTCAGCATCCTGATTCTGACTCGTTCCATGTGAACCTTCCATGTGTTATTTGGAAGCTAAATCCACATCAGAATTTTACAGTCGTACCTAAAGGTGCTACTGATGTAAGACAGGCCCATGACCTGCTGAAGACTTCAATTCACAATGAGTAGTACCCAAGAGGGAATAAAAGGTCACACTAGAGGATCCTCTTGTCCTAAATTTGCAAAAAGCAACATCCATAATAAGTTTAAAAGGAAGACAAATTTCAAAGAGACTGTCAGTGTATTACAAGCAGGTACCAATATCAAACCCAGACGCCTGCAAGGGTCTTCTGGTGGGATGAACTTCTCAAAACAATACAGCTTTTGGAGCAGACAGAACTTTAAACAGCCTGGATGTGTTTTTCAAGCAGCACAAGGAAAAAAACATAAATCGAATACATTACTTGTATGTTCAATTATCAAGCAACAGTTCCTATATTTAAAAACTGTATTCACACCTTTGCTTTTACAATTAAATACTGCCACACACATTTCTCTGCTTGGTAATTATTTCTATGGAAATCAGAAGCTTGTTTAGGCAAAATCCTATTTTTAATTACAAAGGTGCTTAAAACAGATGTACAAGGTCAAACAAGTGCAATGTACCAGAACACTGATCTAAAAATGGTAATTACATTGTGATATTTGAAGAAACCAGTGTCAGATGTACACAGGAATTAAGGTTATGACATGAAAATGATTGACAAAAAGTGCTGAGCGTTTTAGTCAAATGAAATATCAGGTCAACCATACTTAAGTCTTGTGGGGTTTTGGGGACTCAGACCTCACATCTATGTTCACTAGGCAGTTCCTCAAATCCTGGCATGTACAAAAAGCAGAAGTTGATGCCTCTGATGGCAGGATGTTGAGAGGTGTGCTGCTGTATTAGCTGTAAGTCAGCTTGTGCTGCACGTTGAGAGCCAGAAGCACCTTTGCAACGTCCACCATGAGAGAGCTCCAGAGCTGACCCAGCAGAGGCACTGCCACCAACTCACTGAGGGCTCAAGTGTTTCTTGCAGTGCAGAAATGGATGTCAGGGTCTTTGAAATAGAAATCAACTGCCTAAATCTTTCTGAGGAAGTCCTAATGCTTGCACTGGAAGCTTTAAAACAGAGGGGTGGAAAATAATTTGCATTTTATTTAACTAAAGTGCCTACAACCATTAAATTAAGGAGAGGACAACATGAGCTGAGATGAACCTTGGGGGCTGCATGCCTCCTTGGAGCCCAAAAGTAAGTTTAAGCAAATGTCAAAGAGCAAACATACATACTAATGAAGACCACATAGGATGAAGATCAATTCACCTCCACCTGCTGCCTGAGCCTTAATCACTGTCTGAGTTTAAATCACAGTCCAGCCTGCTAGCAGGATGACAGGACTTAAAAACAGACTGAAAAGGAATACAAGTTTCTTACTCTATCTCTTTGTAAAGAAAGGAAAATACTCTTCATCAAGGCATATGTGTGGCTCCACAACAGAGCCAGGTGGGACAGGGGGAAGAAGACTGCAGAAGAAGATCTGTCTGGTCTTCCTGCCCATAGGAGAAGCACTGTGAGGTACCATCACAGAGTCCCTGTGTGAAGCAGCAAGCAGCTGTGCATCAGCTTAGCACTGTACAGGGCACCTCATTCTGCCATTCCTCAGGTCAACCTACCAAAAAAAATACTAAACCTTATCTTTCTGATATCCTTGGGCCAGCAAGGGAGTCAGAGGAATGCAGAGAGCTAACAAATGGACTATACAAACCAGGGGCATAGGAGAATACTACAGAAGAAACTCGGGTGAGGAGGTGACAAACACAAGGATATTGAAAAGGGATTCTGGAGGGTCTTGTCTCTATACCTTGTATATGCAAACACCAACCACCTGCCTGGCTCCTATAACTCACCGTCATGAGCTCCTAAGCCTAAAAAAATCTATCTAGTGTGCCTTAAGCTACTGAAGTTAATTTTATAGGTGCTTAAATCCTTCATGCACCTTTATTCAGTCTTCACTACAACATGAAGCCTGACCACTCACATCCCAGACAGCAGATAATTCGTTAGCAGTTTCACAACAGCAAATGATTATTTTTGATTATGATTTTCTTATCTGCATGCTGAATCAGAAAGCTCTAGACTCATCATGAATAAATGCAGCCCTAGTCTCATTTCACCAGGGCTCTTCCTGTGTATCAAGTGTTATTTATCCTTTGAAAAGATACAGATGCCTATTACAGAGTTGAGGAATCAAACAGAAAAGAGCATCAGAAGTTTTTTCCAGATAGACAAATACATACAGAGACTAGGAGCAATAGCTGTACTGCTTCTGATATACAAGTAAAATCTCTTTATAGAAGTGCAGTAGTAGAGCTTAAGGGGACTTTTCTGCCCTTCTCAGAAACTACTCAAACTAGCTGTATACTCACAGTTTTTCCACAGCCATTCTATCTGGTTTGTCCTGCAGAACAATAATGAAGGCTTTAAACCAGATCCTTTGTTTCCAATTTGCTGTTTGAAGCAATGAAACTGAAAACTCAGTTGTTGGACAGTAACCACCTGAAGCAAGTGTCACCTTTCTAGTAGCTTTTCAAATGCACCTGAAGAAATGAGAACTTAATTTCTTTATAAAAAATTGCATTCAAGCCTTCTTGTTTATCTCTTGCACAGCTGCCATATATTATTTGAGGAACAGAAGAAATCACCATGACTTGAAATCTTGGCCTCAGAAATGAACACTGTAAAATGCTGACAGATACTGATGGGGCAATACATTAAAGAGTCTTTTACTGGAGAAAATTGGAACATTTGGTGATGCAATGTAGAAAGTCTGAACAGCTATCACATGGGGATGGGCCTATGTTAGAAGGCATATAGAGGCACAAACAGTGCAAGGAACAGGAAATGATCTCCCTCAGAATCAGGAAATGTAGGAGGTGGAACATATTTGCATATTGAAGACACCACATGCATGTTACACATGAAATAAAGCATTGTGCCTCATCTTTTCTTATAAACTGTTACATTTCTTCACACAAGGATATGAACTGAGCAGTGCCAGTTACTCTCCTGATTCTAGTGTTACTTTCCTGATGAAAAAAGTAGGTATCCAAACAGAAGGTTCCCTGAGTCGACACAGAAAAATCAATTAAGAGCTGATTTTTGTTTGGAAGAGTCTTCATAACTTTTCTGGGAGAGGAAAAAAAAAAAAGCCATGCAGAGTTTGCTACTGTGCTAGTTTTAGGAGGGTTTAGTATTTTCTATTCATAAGCATGTAATTAACTTGATGCCATAATTACATCCTAATAGAGCAAGACCTCATGAAAGTGTCTATGATCCAATCCCAGTTTGGGAGCAATGTTTTGTAATAATTTTGCTGCAGATACCTCTCCAACTGGAATCTCTTTCATGTCCCAGGGTAAACACACAGCCAAAACAGATGTGAAGTTATGAAGGCCTACTGCATAACATCAAGAAAACACCGATTTTGCAGCTGTCACAAGGATTTGGGGACACAAAGAGACAGATTAATGCAAACAACTGTACATGGCTAGAGGAGAAAGGACAAAAAAAACCCAAAACCTTTCAGTCAGCCACAGTCTTACTCTGCCAATTTTAGTCTGCAGGTGAAAGTAAGGAAGTTCCACCTGGCTTGGAACCCTTTAAGGGTTTCCACCGTGTACTTTTTGCAGAGATGCTTTCAAATCCAACCTGCAAGAGCAATCAGTATTTATACTCTGCTTATTTCTAACAAGAATTCACAAACATTTGGCTATTTGGATTGAAAAATATAACTAGTTTACATAAATAGTTTCAACATCCAAGAAAATGTACAAATCTAAAGTCAAACACATTTGGCTTGCAACAAGCCCAGTTTGCTAACAGCTTTATAAAGGCTCAGTTTTCAAGAAAAGTAGTCATTTTAAATACAACCAGTATACTGCAAATGCCTTCCCATCGTATGGAGACACTCACCATTCTTCTATGCTTCTACCACATCTGCTTGCAAGCAACACACCCCTTTGTTTTGGTCCTGGGTAGTTAATCTCCACTCTTAGGTTTTGGAGCGGTCCTCTTACAGCTCAGAGGAAGCATTGCACCTGAAATGTCCAGCAGCACTGTGCAAAGCCTCCACTTAATCCCCGAGGCTTTGGGTTGACTGTGTAAAAGTGGAAAACCAGGATGACATCGCTGATTTCGCGCTTGTGAAAGCTCCTCCAACTGACTGACCTGCAAAAACCAAAAGAAGGCAAGTCAATAGTGCAGCATTGTTACTACTAAGCTACTACAAAGAAATATCAAATAAAACATTTTAAAAAAATAAATCACACAATTAATTTGTCCAATTTGGAATTTAAAATCCGAGTCTAGAATCAGTATCAGAAAATATCTGAAGAAGGTGAACACAGTAGCTGAGCAGAAATGGCCCAGTGCTGTCCTCTCCCTGGAAGGCTTGTGGAGCCCAGGCTGAAAGGTGCCCCACGCCAGAGTGTGCAACAGCAAAGAGACCCATGGAATAGAAGGGGAAGCTAAAAACATTTTGGCAAAGCTACTGCAGGACAACTGTCAGGTTCTCCAGTGGGTGAACTCAAATGATCTGGCACTGCGAGGTGACAATGGGATGTTGCCCCTGTTCAAGTGACCCCTCAAAATGTTGCTCTGTTTTGTATGTATGTTATAAAGCACACTTGGATTAAAATGGAAGGTAACAGAGATACAAGATGCTTCTTCAAAAGAAGATATGGCTTAGCTACAGGCTGTTCAACAGATCCCTTACCTACAGCTTTCCCTGTCTGCACAACGTTTCGGCTGGTAGAAACCATCACGTTTCCAATCTTCTTCCCACGTTCACTGTTCTGCACAGAGCTAAACCAGAGAGATACTGAAGACTGTTAGCTGACAGACCTCTTATTACTTCCAGGTGTAAATAAAACACAGTTAAAATACACATCAACACACATGGATTTATACAGCAGACATACACCTATAGAGAGAGGGGTGTATGTACATGTATTAACCCCCTAATTCCTGCATGCACCTTATCCACATAGATCAGACAAGCTTCTCAGAGGAAGCCAAGATACTGTCAGCCAGACAGAAATCAAAACACCAAAAAGTTAATTCTCATACAACACACTTTATACCTTTCCTAAAAACTTATCAAAATACATTTATGTTTTAAATTATGAAGTCAGATTTGCAGTAGTTGTCAGAAGTTTTATCCCTAATATCAAAGCTCTAACCAAAACACTGTTACTGATCAGGCTTTTTTTTTTCTTCCTAAACAGTTTACTTTGTATCTTGCTCTAAGATTAAATTTTTGATCATGTACAGTTTACACTCATGCTTTTGTTAAAGAAATGCAAAAAGATGACAGATGCTATCACTGTTTGGAAAGAGAAGCACAAAAGCAATCAGTTCTACTGCACGAGTGTCATTACTTGACAACAATCTCATTTAAATTGTAACATTCAAGTCCACATTTCAGGCTTTGCAAACTCATTTATGTTAAACTTAACACCATAGCATGCCACATTCTTTACCCACTTTCAAAATCTTCAGTGTAGATGCAAAAAGCAGAAAGAATAGAGTACCCTAAGAAGCAGTTTAAGCTGAGTTTGCAAAAGCAAGTATTTTTGATGAGTATCTGACAGCAAAGTCACATCTGGAGAATAAAGGCACTGCTGTGAAAATATTTCTTATTAGAGAAACACTAAAAACTACTGGTCTTAGTAGTTTACAATCTTTTACATTGATTTCAGGCTACTCAGAAGAGTTAGTATCTCCCTTTTCAAGCACAAAAATAGGGCAAGTAAAAGATCATAGACACCTCCACATCCTTCCAATTAAGCCTTTCTGCAAAGACCATCCATCAATAACAAGAGCTGCTACCAGCATGCACTTTATTGAAGGCAATTACCTTGAGATCAATCTTGATTCATTTGCAATCTCAACCGCCATCATGGAAATTTAATCTGTCATGGGTCAGCAAGAGGAACAAAAAGATTCAGCAGGCTGAAGTCTGAACCTTTTTATTCCTCAAGCTGTTCTTCTGTGTTACCATGTGGTTTAGGTCTACCCACAGAAGACCACAGCTAAGTGAGACATCAGTCCAATCTATTTTGCTTGGTGCACAAACAAGAGGAGATAGTTAACTGCAGCTCCAGGACTGAACTCTGGCTTCAGTTAGAGCTGAACAGCTCTGGGAATAACAAGCACCACTGAGTTTTAGGCTCGAATACTAGAGTTAAGAGATGAGAACAACTTAAAGTTCACTTGAGTGGGATGCAATAAGAGGTTATATAAAACTAAATTTAAACTTCTAAACTGAAGAAGCTGAACTCAGGACATACTGTGAACTCAAGAGTTTCAGAAGAATGCTGTATTAAAAAAATAGCTAATTCACAAAAAAAGTTTTCTCCTAATAAGGAGGCCCAAAGTCAACATAGAGAAAAACACTAAAGAAGGTTTTAACAGCTTTAGTTTACAATGTAAAAATATACATACAAAAGCCTTATAATTGCAATGGAAAAAATCAGGGCTCCGTTATGTAGTGTCTACAGTTTCATGTAGATGGGCAGCTGAAATCATCATTTTGTTTAGTTCATCACAGCAAGAGTTATACAGTTATTAATATTTGACAACATTCAAACAAACCCCAACAAACCACACCCAAACCAAAGCACTGTATACTTACTGTGACAATCTTAACTTCACATCTGATACAGAGTACTGTCCCTGGAATGGGTGGCTAGAAGAGGAGGAAAAACCCAATAAAACATGAAGTATTTATTTTTTCACAATGAGTCCTTAACACACAGTTATTAGTCATATTCCTCTCTCTGTGGCTTACAGAAAAAGAAACCCAAAATAAAAACAAAACACCTTTTGTAGATTTACTACTTTATCACTTTACAGAAGTCTGGATCTCAGTGACTATTAAACCTTAGACTCCTTATGAGCTACCTGCCTTCTATTTACAGACCAGATTTGAGCAATCTCTTCACATGAAGGCAGAATCAGCTCTTCCTAGTGACACAGAGCAAATAAAAAGGAAAAAAAGGATCCCTTAAGTAGGCCAGAAGAGCTGTGTAGGTCTAAAGAAAAATTTCTCCAGGCTGTAACAGCTGACAAAGCAAAAGCAAACAACTCCCTGCAGTAAAGTAATAATCCAAGCTAAACAAAACACATGCACAGCCAGCAGTGTTACCCGGCCTGGCATCTAATCTCTGAGTAAAAATCCACAGAAAGCAATCCAGAGCAGAGAAGATGCAACATAAACCAGCCAGCTCTGCTCCATCCCTATCAGTGACAACCCTGGACACAGCAACTCCCAGGACACCTGCAGTCAATTAAAGAGAAGCAGAACCATCTGAAGACCATTCCTGAGGAATGACAAACTTTCTGTAGCTGGGGACAGCCAACAACTTGAACAACTTCACTTCTCCTGACTCTGAATATATTTTTCTTCACAAAGCTACAGCCCAGAAGGAGAGTCAGTTATGGAAGAAAGAAAAACTCAGGTTTCTGTACATACAGAATAGGGCCCAATGTTTCACTCTCAGAGCTCTACAGTAGGAACAAGGGGAACGTTGTCATACTGTTCATACATCCACGTTAAATGTTAAAAATAATAATAAAATAAAGTTTCCTTACCTAGAATTTACCTCTGCAAGAGCTGGATGCTTGTTGCTATTCCATACTCTGTAGTTGTGGGTGTTTTTCCAGGCTGCTACAAATGCTGTTCCAAAGTCTGACAAAATCTTTTCGTTATCTGATAAATTAAAGATGAGAATTGGCAGCAATTCATTAGAGGTGTAAGACAAGACAAATTACTTTGTTTCTTGTAAAGTAAAAAATGTTTTTTCCAGGTTCTTATCAAATCAAAGACAATTAAAACTCTAGAACTGAGAACTGGATACTTTAAAAATGTTTTATTATTTCATTTTAATGGATCCCAAATATACAATACCAGGACAAGAGAAAAAATAATCTTAACAAATACTTTTCTTGTTTTTAATTAATTGATAAAGTTCTGAGCAAGAGCTCAACTGGGAAAAAAAAGTCATCCAAATATAAGCCTCTCATTCACTGGACAAAGACAGGTAAGGGGAGAGAATGGCCACATAGCAACCAAGAACAAGAATATTCATTTGCACTGGTCTTGGTCAGGTACATTGGGCTTTACTGTTCTATGTTATCACTCATTCAGATTTAGTAAACCCCAAATCCATTCCAAAACTGCATCTTGAAGTACTATGTAATAAATGTATCATAACATTACCTCCTTTAAAACACTGAGGAATACAGGAAAGCAGTTTAGAGCCAGTCAGTGAAGTTGCATGAGCTTCCAGAACCCCTGACTTTCCTGTCAACCATGTAATTATCTTAAACTATTAATCCTGTCAGATAAGAAGTGTAGCACCTTCCAGATGTTAAGATCACGTTCTCGATCCCATGTTTTCTCACAAACACCCCAGAACAAGATTTGCATTAGTTAATTGATGTGAAGAGAGAATAATCACAAGGAGAATGAAGTTAATGGGGTCAGTGCTGGGCAAACTAAACATTTTCCACAAATAAAACACCATTTGTTTTAGTTACACTCAAGCATCAATGGTTGGAACATAGAGACTTTCCCTCTGAGTTCAGACAACAAACACTGAGGCTTAGAAAGCCTCTAGATAATTCTTTTCATTTATGTGATTCCCTACTTAAGACCATGGCAGGAAGGAAAAAGATGGAACAGCCTAACAAAACTTGAAGACACCAACTTAACTTCATGTCTCCTTGAATCCAATTATTCTCCCAAAATTAACTTCAGGTTGTAATAGAGTCTGTAAAAGCCTCATCATATATTGGGTTTAAGGTACTTGTGATGATGAGGAAAGCTTAATTAAATCAAAGAGGAGGAGACAGCCAAAGAAGAAAGTGTCTGTAAGGTTGTGAAATAAGAATCAGTAATAAGCATGTCAAGGAATAACAGGGAAGAATAGCCAAGGAGAAATGAAAAATCAGCCTAAAATGACACGTTAGGCAGAGGGAAATCCAGTGACAGGCCTCACGTTTGATGTGACAGAGCAAACACTTCTTACAGCCACCCTCATCTCAATCCCCAGACAAGGCATCCACTCTACCTGGTTGCAGCACAGCAGCAAGTAGTGCATGGAGGTAAGCGCTGAACTGAGCCCTGATCCACTCATCTCCTCCTTCCCATCCAGTGCCATCAAGGAAAACATCATCTCTGTTCTCAGTGACGTGCTTCACCAGGTAATCTGCAAATCTCAGGTCAGCAGTTGTTGGGTTCAGGATCTTGCGGAGCTCTGGATCGTGGATCTGCACTTGGGCATCTTCTATCTGAAATAATTCCAAGGGTAAACATTTATCTAAATAAAACTGCTTAAATATGCTACTACATATTGCTCCTGAAATCTAAACCCACAGTCCCTCAAAATCTGTCTGCTGGAACTGACAAAGTTTTCTTACATAGTATTTTTTTTAATCTCCATTAAATCAGAAGGAAGTCAATAGCAATGTGCTTTATTATCCAAGTGTATTTGTTTCTCAGCTGCAAGCACTTACTTTTTATGACCTTATTATAGTCATGAAAAAAGCCTGTGACATGAAAAGTAAAATTATATCAGTAGCAAACCAAAAATGTAAGAAGTACCCTGCAAATTCCTAGACTGGATTTAAGAGTATACAGGAAAACAGGCATTAGATTTTCACAGCTCATCTAATCCTACCCTAACCAATGATACAAATTTAATAGGCATTGAAGAATTTATGTCATAGGGAAGTAATTCAAAATTTAGGCATGAATGTGAAACTTTAAAGCTGTATTTGAAGTGCAACTTCTGTTTCCAGCCCCACCCCCAAGTTTAAGTTGTCCATACTTCCACAATGGCATCACTGAGGTGCTTCTGCTGACGGAACAGGATGTTGGTGGCTCCCGCGACAAAGCCCCGGACTGTCACATCTGACAGGAGGTGATGCTGCTGCAGCGCCATGTATGGCAAACAAAGGTACCCCTAAAGCAACAGAGAGACGTGGAGGATTAACATAAGGCCAAGCAACAACAAAAAAATCTATATTCAGAGTTTTTCCTATTAAAAGCCAGCAGGTTCCACCCAGAGTGAACCTTGATTCAGCTTCAGCCACAATTATCTATCGTTTTGCAACGTTACATCTGCAAAGCAAAGCAACCAGACTCCACATGAATTAAGTTTTTCAATAAGTTGTGAAGCCTTTCAGTCTCAGAACTGCAATACAAAGGACAGGAACCCGACGTGCTGATGAGGCAACAGAATAAGCAGCATAAAACAAGAGTGAGGTCTCAGGTCAGTTCAGAAACAAGAAGTCAACGGAGATAAAGGTCCATCTCTCCACCATGTTTTCTGGAAGTCCCACATAATGCTGGAGAGCTACAGGCTGTTACCCACACTTTCTAGGTGGAGGTTTCCAGGCTCCAGAGATAGCAAACAATTTTTGGTAAGCACATGTATGCCTGCTTTAAGAAAGCCCACGACAGAAAGCAATACACTGTGCTTTCTAGCCACGCCATGCTTGTAAAATGATCTAGTATCCTACACTTCAATTAAAAAAAACCAAACATTTTGAAAAAAAGGCTTTGAGGTAAGTCAGAGAGATCACTAAGCAGCAGCTGTGGGCATTAGAATTTTCTTTTTAAGTATAGCATCAACACCCCCTTGAATTCTACAGCTGGAGCCTAATTCCAGCTGTTCAGCTGCATAAAGCAGACAGCAGTTTAGTCACCAGCAGGACCCAGCAGGGCCAAGGGCAGACTGGACAGGAACAAAGAGCACATGCACTTCATCACACAGCACATGGGAACTGGAAACATGTGGAAGAGAGGAGCACAACTATCCCCTCTTCTTATATGGGACACAGGGATGGCATTCCAGATGACAAGTACTTATCAGTTGAAAGCAAACAGTCTGCATCAAAGGAAAAATAGTGCTTTGAAAGGAATCACCACCCTAAAATGGAAATTTTTTAAAAAATATAGCTTGAAAAGCTGGCAAAGGAAGGTTTAGTTACTGTATACCCAAGTAGCAACGTCTTGGAAATCTTTCACTATTTCAAGTATCAACTATCAGTTCCCAAATTCACATTTATCTGTAAGTACAAGTTTTATTTCTGTGAACGTGATCCGTTCTTTTAATTTAAGAGTGCAAATGAAATGACCATTAGATCTTACAGAACTGGTACTAAAGAAGTATCACAACTTATTTTTCCTTACACTCAGGTGTGATTTTGCCACCTGGCAAAATCTCCTCCTGTTCAAATTTGTCATTATTTATTAGTCTCTCCATGGCATGGCATACAACAACCCTGAGATGAGACCTCTTTCCAGTAAGTGGTTAAACTATAATTCTGAATCACTTTTTTTCTGCTAACTTAAGAGGTGCACACCCTTTTCTGCTCTAATTACCACAGATGAGCTCAAATGAAAAGTGCCTTTGTGGAACAAAAGGTAAACATGAAGAAACTGTCAGCTTCCTTAAAATTATTTACTTCTCCATTTTATGAGCTTAGTAGCAAACCAAGTATATAATTGTAGGCCCCCTTATCTGTAATTTTCCTGTTTCCTATGTAGTATTTTCAACAGAACTTGACTAAATACAATTTATAGCCTCTTCTCTTCACTAGACAGACCACAAGGACAAACACCAGGCAGCACATCTTGCTGCAAAGGCATTTCTAACAGTGACATGAGGCAGGACAGGGCAGTGACCTCTGAGCTGCTCTCCTGGGCACACAGGGCACAGGATTTCCAGTGACAGCTGCTGTGAGAAGCTCAAACAATCCACTACCATGTTCTGCAAGGAAATGCAAAGAAACACCTCCAGAGGAAGAAATCCCACTCTGAACGTCATCAGCTGGAGGAAATAACTCTGAAACTTCTACTTTTGGGGCAAATTTGTTGTCAAAGGTTATTACATTAAAAACATCACATGATAACATTATATCACTTCTTTTACTGACAGAAGTATCTTTAAAAGGGATGCATTTTCCCTGTTTTATGGGATATCAGCTGTAGTAAATGTATTGCTTGTTATCTGACAATGCCCATCAGAGCCCTTACAGAGAGTCTGGAATACCTGGAGTTCACTTAGGCATCAGCACAAGCTTAAAATTCAGCAGCTCAGCACCATGCACAGCCACAGATAAGCAGGCAGTGTTACCATGTAAAAAAAGGGTGAAATTATCTATTTTTATATTTTATATACACATTTTGTGGATATAAATATACACATTTTAAAATATAAAGTACAATATATTTTATATACACATTTATATACACATTTTGTGGCTATATAGAACACATTTATAAATTCATCTGTATATTAAAAGAGGAAAACACAGGTTTAGTTATCAGGTAAGGCAGAGCTTTCAGAATCTTAGTTTAGATAACTTAATCTAAACACTTCTTTGATCTTACCCCATGTAGGTTAGATCAGCAATTTTTCAGAGAAGAGAACAGCAGTTACTGATACGTACCATCTATTAGCCACAGCAGGGCTGCAGGTTGCCCTCATGTAAAATTGCATTGTAAATACCCCCAGGAAAGGGAAGTGGACCACACGTGTGCACACACACCCCTCCCAGAGGTCCACTCATGCTTTCCAACTTCCTAGGACCACGGTCACTTGCCAGAGACTGCACCTACATGTTTGGTAGCACCCAGCTGGCCAGTTGGAGTTGAGTAACCAAAATTACCAGCCACTTGTGAAAAGCAGATGTCTTTTGGAGTTAGCAGGATCATGGACAAGATGTTTACCTTTGTAAAAATGGCCAATGGCATCCCATACTGGTCCTCCTCCAGGCCAGAGATCAGTCCTGGAACCAGCACCGTGTGTCCTGTCTTGGCTTGGGGCTGCACAGTGATGGGAAGGCTTTCTGAGCTCTTGCCTTTGCTCACATTTTCAGCCTGTTCTGGTGTGGCATTTTCACCTTCTCCTTCTTTCAAATTAGTCTCCTCCAAAATGCTAGGATCTAAGGTCTCCCAGTCACTTTCAGAGGGCACTGGAGAAGTGTGGGAAGGAACTTTCAAGCCCTGCACGGCACCATTGGCAGGCTGAGCTCCATTGCAAGTCTTCTCTGACTGAGAGAAAGGCACGTGTGCTTTTTGACCTTCCAGTGACTGGCTTCCTGCCATCTTCCTGCCTCCCTTTCCCATTTCCAAGTGTCTATCTGAAGAATCACCAGCAGACACAGCCTCATCCAGCCGTGGTGTACTTTCCTGTGAGCCAGCATCCTCTGATACACTCTTTCTTGGTCTATACTGTGAGCAGTCAGTAAGACCATGTTCAATCATACCTGGAAAGTGACAGCACACATGAGTATCAGCATCTCAACAGACATTTAAGTGACTTCTGCTAAAGAAAATGAACAGTGCTCATGTGTGTACACTGGAAATCAGGTATTTTAAACCATACTTTGGGGAGGGTGTGTGTTAAAAAATCCAAGCCCCACAATTTGTCTCCTGAAGAATCTGCCCCAGCTTTTTTGCTTTGAGAGGACTGATTAGAAACTAAGAATTAGCAAGATTAGGGGTTGTGGTTTTGTTTAAGGTTTGTTACTTGGTTGGTCTTGGGCTTTTGTCATTTGTTTGCTCGGATGTTTTTGAAGAGCACATATAGGAGGAAGAGAGAGGTTTGTATTTCTGTTTATTTAAGGAATTTGACCGGAGTTAAGGAACCTCAACTACTCAGGATCTCATCTGTGTTACCCACAGACAGTACAGAAGATCCAGTGGCTCTAAGCACAAGAAACAACCCAGAGAGTGCAAGTAGTAACTACTGGGAGGTATGTACACAGTACACAGACAAGTTGCCCATTTTTCAGGCAACATCCCAACATAACCCTACTGTCACAGAAGTTGTTTTCCAAATGAATCAGTACAGCCAGTCTCAGTTATCATCAGAAAGCACATAAAAAGATCTGCAAGC